TAATGCAATCAGAACAGTCCCGGTAACATCCAGCATCATAGCACTGCGTTTTATGCAATTTGAGCAAAGGAATAAACATTTGCCTATATCAGTAAAAACGGCACCATTTTTTTTACGTTGGAATGAAAGAGTCAAATGACTGAGGACAGATTACAACACTGCCATCTAGCGGTTGCCGGTTTATTTCATGGAATGCTGCTCAGAGTTTCACATATGGGATTAAAAAAACAACCAAAAGGGGGGAAGCAACTAACGGTACAGGTCAATGGAACTGTAGAATAAATCTAAATAAAATAAAGAGTAAATGGAAACCAAATAAATACACTAAATTAAATAGAATATATAAATTACAATGGATTGAAAGGTCAAAAAATATAAAATCATAAGCTACTTACAATTTGAAATAAATACTGTATTTTACGGATGTAGCAATACAAGGGTGAGATAAAAAGAAGTAAGTAATAAGTGAGTAACAGTAAAAGAACACCAGTAATACTAGAAAAGCCAGTAATGCTACAATAAGTGAACAGGAAAATATAAAGTGAAATATAATAGAATACTATTAACTTAAAAAGTCAGTGTTTCCAGTAGCTTTTTAAAAGTGTTAATTGATTCAGCGGAGTGTCTAATGTCTCCTGGCAGTGTGTTTAATTGTTTTAAATGTTTAAAAGCTGCCTCAGCACAATATGTTTCAACCTTTGGAATGCACAGAAGTCTCGAATTGGTACATCGCAGACTAATAGTAGGAGTATAAAAGGTAAGAAGGTCAGTAATGCATGAAGGTCCATTTAGTGCTTTATGAATAAGTAAAAGAAACTTAGAATTGATTCTAAAAGACACCGGTAACCACTGGAGGTTATACAGGATCTGATCTGTTTTCTTAGTTATTGTTAATATTCTGGCAGAATCATTCTGAATTACTTGTAATTTAAAAGTAGCCATTTTGGGCAAACGTGTTAAAGAGGAATTACAATACACCATACACACAAACACTGATGAGAACTTTTCTTAGCAGTTAAAGCTGAAAGATTAGTGCATGATTACAAATTATTGAAAAAAATCAGTTAAGTTCCACAAATAAAGTACACCAACTACGCTGCAATAGTAAGTTCAGTGGCATGTTAAGGTTGTAACAGATGAAATATAATGAAACTGAATCAAACACACCACCATCTGTAATGCCTAAGCTTCTACTTTCTTCTGATATCACCACTGGATGAACGTGAAATTGTTTCATCTCTCACTGGATCAGCAACCACCAAAGGGTCNACGTGAAATTGTTTCATCTCTCACTGGATCAGCAACCACCAAAGGGTCAAAATCGATGCTACAAAGAAATAGTATTGCTTACAGTTAGAGTGAAAGAAGTTCTCAATACAAGTCAACATGTTTTCTTAGGCCAAGTTTTGTAATTGAATGCTCTCTACACATAGGACACCCACCCAGAGTGTTATAGATGCCTGACTACTTCTTCATTTTTTATACAATACTTACCTACAATAAGAACCCGGACTGTCCAGTCGCAGCTGTGATTGTGTTGAGATGAATCTTTTTGTGAATCTGAATAACACACAGCATCAAAGAGTTGTGTTGATACTACAAGTAAATCAATCATTTAACTGAATTGTGATTCTGTCTCAAACAGGTTTACATTGATTCTTTGAACACTTGTATAGATATTTAAGTGTGTACCCATATGCATGACTACAGATCAAAGTGAAGGCAGTGCTCAGCACCTATAGATCAGTGGCCTGTACTACAAAGTGGGGTTACTGGTTTATCAGGGTAACTTGGCGGATTTAAGGTACCACAGTTTAAATGGACTTCATATTCGTTCACTTACATTTTGCCCAGACTACCTTAAATCCGACAAATTACCTCGATAAGCCAGTAACCCTGCTTCGTAGTACAGGCCTCTGGAAGGACGCATGTAGACCAGGTGTGAGCATTTTTTCTGCTATGTGGCCGGCAGCTACATTAAGACACAAACAAAGAAGGAGCAGACAGGTCTCTGCAGTGACATCACTTACCCGCTTCAGAGTGGAATTCTGGGCAGGCTATAAAAAATAAAAAAAAAACTTTAAATATTTACTAGGGAGGACAAAAACAATGCTGACATTTAGTGCATTTTCATTTACCAGTTTCAGACAGGTATCTGCCATAATATTTTGTTTTATATGCACAAATATTGAAACAATTTATTAATTTAATTGATTCAAATAAGTGGCACAGTGGTGCAGTGGTTCGCACTGTCACCTCACAACAAGAAGGTCCTGGGTTCAATCCCTGGGTCACCCAGGGTGCCTTTCTGTGTGGGGTTTGCACGTTCTCCCTGTGCAGGTGTGGGTTTCCTCCCACCCTCCAAAGACATGCAGATTAGGTCAACTGGCTACTCTAAATTACCCATAGGTGTGTTTGTCTGTGGTGGGCTGGTGGTGGACCCTCCCTCTTCCCTGAAGACACTGGGATTGGCTCCCGTGACCCAGATGGATAAAGTGGTATAGATAATGGATGGTTCAAATAATTTAGATTAAATGGCCATCCTACGAATATAATGACAGCTTAACTCTGTGAGACCTGTTTCTTTAAACACCCATAAGTTCTCGATCCCTGATATAAAATTCTAGAATGATCAAAGCAGTGTCTTATCTGTAATACTTACGTTCAGTTACTGTGTTCAAATGTTTGCCTGTTGCTTCAAAAATATAGGTCCAGTCATCCTGGTCAGTCACCACAATGAACTGATTGTTGTATTGGCAAATAAAATCATTCGAGCTCAATTTCAAATCGCTTGAGCAATGTGGAGGGTGTTCTTGTCTCTCCCATAATGGCCTGTCATCACCCGTTTTATAAACTCTCTTCCACTGACTGGCACATTCTGCTTTGCAAACTATGCATGTTTTTGGTGGTGATCCTGCAAGGATGCAGCACGTTACACTACAGTTAATATCAGTCATCTTAAAGAAACAAGACCATGAATGAACAAAAACATCTGTGTAATAAGAGTTTAACAACAGTTCTAAAAATGCAAAGTTTAAGAATAAGAATCTATGAACAGCAGACAAATTAAGTGAAAGGTATCATCTTACCGTGTGTTTCTGCTGAAGTAGGCCTATTCATAGGCAGAGAAACAAAAAAGACTAAAAGTAAAAATAGATTTTTTCTTCTGGATGAGAAATTCACCACCGTCATCGTCATCCAGGCTCCTGCTATCCCTGCCTTTTCCAAATCCAAGTGTCTAAAATCTCTAGTTTTCTGCCGGTGCGCTTCCATGGACTTCAATGCATTCACTGAGCTTTGACTGTGTCATATAACAGAAAAGTAAGTATATTTTAACGATCTCCAAAGGAACCCTCTGATGTAAACCAATACAGGCATCACACAATATCCATTTAAGATCTATTTATAGTCAGACCGCAAAGTGCGGAAACGTGGACTGAACCCGGTGTGTGTAATGTTTTTACATTAGGCCTACTAAAGGATTCAGTAGTGGTTTAACAAAAAAAATTATGCTTAGTGTACCATAATGTGCTTTGATATGTTTATACTGAATTGTTTAGGGAAAAAAAACATTGTGCAGTACAATACATACACAGTACCATGGAATTTTTATTATTTAAAAATTATTTATAAATCTTTCTTATAAAGCATCCTTTCATGATGTGGCTATTGCATGAGTGCCCATTGTGATGTCAGAATATACATACCCCCCCCATATATAATCAGATATCGACATGTGACACCCATGTCATACCTCTGCAGTCCTTCCTCTGTCTCCTCATTGAACAGGCAGAAATGGTCTCCCCGTCTTCTTCCTTTAATGAGCTCTTTAATATATTGATTCAACACCATCAGGCAAAGTCTCAAGAATAATCAATCACCTACAGAACAGTGGTGGCTTCTATAAACAATGTTTCACCAAGAAAAAATAATCTTCATGACAATCATTTTTTATTGGTGTGAAACCACAAAATGCTCACAAAAATAAGGTACGTGCATCTCCTAATTTCAACTCCTCAACGGTATACGACTCTGGCTAAAAACGTGAAACAGCGCCACCCCCATCCGCGGTGAAACGAAGAATTTCAGTGAAACAAGCTCCTTGTTGTTGTCACGCTGGGGTTCAGGCGAGCCGGGAAGCAGGCAAGCAGAGCCGTGAATAAGGATAAACAGGGTTTAATGGGAACAGCAGGTACGCACATCGAAACAATACAATGACGGATCTCCGGGATAGTGGGAGACACGGACTAATATACACAGGACAGGGTGGAAATGACTAGACATAGGTGGAAACAATCAAGCAGAAACAGGAGGTAACGAGGTGGGCGTGGCACACATCGGGAGCGGACGGAGCGGGGCGTGACAGTTGTGTTGTTGTTAATGTTAATGGTTACATTTCCTTATTGTTGCGCATGAGTTTGCCCCCTGGGCGCTGAATTAGCTGCCCCCTGCTATGTCACGAAAGTCACATATGGGTTAAATGCAGAGGACACATTTTGTTGTTGCACGCTGTGATATGTTGACAATGACCACTGATCACTAAATTCTAATTCCATCAGAGCTGGGATCCCCAACAGGTGGCCTGCAGTCTGAATACAGACTGTGAGAGCCAAACGTCTGGCCCTCAGACCACACCCAGTCAAATGTACATTTTGTCATTAATTTCATAAATCATTAGTACCAAAGCATGTATGTGTACATTTGTTTTTAATCTTATTTTTTAACAAAAAAGCCTTAACTTATAAAACTGTAACAAAATATCAGATGTCAATAATTTGACAAAATTGCAAGCCAAAAAGCAAACAAGTATTTTTTCACAAGACACATTGCTTCACTTGCTGCTTGTTGCTGAAGCTGAATTTGATATCCCTGCTGGCGTATCGCTACATTAAAAAATGTGGCAAATAAAAAAACTTTAATCTTGAAATATAGATCAGTTTGGTAGCATTTTGAACAATGATGCCCCAAGCTGATATCAAAGATAGGAATCTGGGCCAATACAGGCATTTTTTTTAACTGACATAGCACAATCCAAAGCCCGATATTTAATTTTCCGCGTCTGCCTAATTTATGTCAATTGTAAAGTTCCATCACACGCTGCAGTAAACCTGAGGCACATGGCTTGAAACTACAACCTACTGAGATGTCAGCCATGTGAAAATTCTTTAAATTGTGAATCTGAAGTAGCTCAGCAGCTACTAGCAATGTTTGCAATGCCATTCTTAATAGAGGAGGTAGCACCAGAGCACCGTTTAATACGACAAATCT